TGGTTATTGTGCTTGCCACATATAAGCAAAACGTTGAAAATTATTGAAATCGGACTAAAATTACGGCCGCTTTTCATATAACGGTAAATTTCAGAAATGCTTGAAACTTCAATATTTCGAAATTTAAGGACGCTAATTTACTCAAAATTGATACACCCCGGCTTACCATCTAGCGGTAGCTTTCGGAAAGGTGAAAAAAACATATATTTAATACTTGCGCCGGGTATTTAATGTTCGGCTCCGCCCGAACTTAGACTTTCTTACTTGTTTTAGTTTCCTTGGATTCCCTGTGGTGGCCGCTGTAATGTAGTGGTGCACACCACCATTCGGCAGGGCCTAGGTTCGAGCCTAGTTTCCTAACATAAAAAAAGGCATAAACAAGTTTTTTCTAAAAGCGGTCGCCCCTCGGTAGGCAATTGCAAACCTCAAAGTGTATTTCTGCCATGAAAAAACAGTTTCTCATAAAAATACAATCGCCCTTCATAGTCGGCGTAAAATTGTGTGACAACATCAAAGCGTACGCCACAAATCGGAGGGGAAGCTCGGCCAAACACTAACATATTATGTATGCGCCAATCTATTATTGGGTTCCCTTTCTAAAACTTGGCACCCTCGTCTCTGCTTACAGCGTACCGCTTCCTTGATGGCAGCCATTTCCACCTGAAAGACACTGCAGAAGTCCGGAATCCTTAGTAATCCCTCCCTACCCAGTCATCTCTTGAGGGAATATAGGCAGAGAAGGAGCTTCTGGCAGGCATTTCGGAGGCGCTGTAATCTAGGTGTCAAGGGCTCCGTGAAATAAGATAAGCTTAAATTTGGTTGCATAGAGCTAATGAATTACATTTTGCCGATAGCTTCCTTACAGCAGTACAAGACAACCGACGCCATTTTTATCATTTTCTCAATGTTAGGCTTCCATGACAGCTTCCTATCGAGGGTCAAGCCTAAGTACTTGACCCTGTATGAGAGCCGCGGACGAACAACCGCACTCGAGGGGCCACAACGAGTATCTTGTACTTCCTGGTAAACAAGACCAGTTCCGTTTTGCTAGGATCTACTGCGAGGCCACTCTTGATTGCCCACTAGTAACCTGCTTCAGGTAAACTTGAGGCAGAAAAAAGGGTGTTTAGAAATCGTCCTTTAGCCAAAATATCCACATATTCTACAAAGGCGATCACCCGACATCCCACTTTTTCCAGGTCCCCTAGAAGGTCGTTTACAACCGCAACGTAGAGCAGGGGAGGGAGAACACCAATTTGCGGAGTGCCCATATTGTCACTGCACTGAGTATAGGCGCTCCCCCACTCCGCCGCGACAGTTCTGTCACAAACTAAGCTGTAGATAAGCCCTATTAGGTTGATTTCAACCGCCCAATTATGAATAGACTTGAATATTACCTCTAGACTGACATTGCTGAAGGCTCCCTCCATATCGAGGAAGGCCCCACTTTAGCAATGTGTGCAGGGTAGTATCCACCGAGCTTGCAATATGCATGTTAAGCTCTTGAAAGATAGTCACGAGGAATCGCGTTTCTTATGTACAGGTCTATCCATCTCTCTAGCGATTTTAGAGAAAACGAAGACAGACTGATATGCTAAAATCCCTAAGAGAAACATGAGATCCTTTTCCGGTCCTCGGGATAAATGCAACACTGACTACCCTCCAAGCCTTGGGGATGTACCTGGCCCTCACGCAGTTCGCAAGTATGATACCATCGGTCCCCGGCGTCTTTAATGGTTTGAACGAATTTCTCGCCCAAGCCATGTGACGATCGTCCAGAAAATCGGAGAACTACAGGAGCTGAAGTACAAAATATTGCAAAGAAGTACATTTGACTGTGCTTCGAAGTACGAAGCACAAGAGTTAAATAAGAAGTACTGTACTTCCGAAAGAAGTACCGTGTGACCAACCGCATTAAGTATACACGAAAATTATGCACGCGTTGCAGATGTCTGGTCGCAATGCTGGTAACAGTGGAGGGCGAAGGGCTCCTCGGTTACAGCGCCAATAAAGAAGAAGAAGAACTACACGCAAGATAGACTTTCGGATCCGATAGGTGGCGCCGTATCAATATCTAACTTATAAAAACTATTAATTAAACGATATTGCGGTCGCTGCCGCTGAAATCTTAAATTTATGATTTCGCACGATTTGACGTTTAGTTTTGCGTTAAGCTGATGCCAGATAAAACTTTGTGGTTTTGCGTGACATTTATAATTTTGCTAGCAAAGCGCTAGACGCAAAAGGTATACCACAATGAACATCAAGAAAACAATTTTGTACTGCTTTTTACTCGTCAAAATTGCTGTGAATTTTATATATTTAGCTTTAAAAATATCAGCAGTGTAATTAAATTTGATGTTTTTGCATAAAAACTCGAATTTGGACGAAACAATAAATATAAAACCGGCTGATTGTCAACGCGCGCAAAAAGATGGTAGTTGGCCATCTTTTCGCTTCGCGCTGCAGCTGCAGCAATCTAGATATGTGGCATGCTTTGTGCATTTTCATACAATTCATCTTATCTGTCAAAGGGAAGCAAGCGCTTATCTGGCATCAGCTTTACCGGGATTTACGCAACTTTTTAACTTTTTTGGGAGCATTTCGTACTTACGCTAATTTTATTGATGTTAGCCCGAGAATGTAAAACAAAAAATGTATTGTTAGTTATCCTGAAGCCCATTGACATCAAAATTAAATGGATTTTCATACCAACTGATAGCTCATTTATTGAAATCGCATACAAATTAACGAAGTTAGGCAACTTTTCTTAAATACGGCCTTGAAAAATAAGCAATTATATTTCTCATAAAAACGACACTGCAAGTAGTCGGTCGGTAATTGACGGGGTTTATCAGGTAGCTACCGATTCATCAGTCCTGTAGTCGCTCCCCCGTATTGCAGGGTAATTTCGCATGCTGTCGCGTTCTCATCGTTACGCTCTTGCTTGTATACGTACACGCGATGGTTATACTCTTTTAGCGTGTGCTCGTTATCTGCTCATGCCTGTTCGTGGTTCAAAAGAAATAAAATAAAATTAGGAAGCGCCTGACGGAATTCGAACCCGGCACCTTCTGCAAGCCAACAAATAGTGGCACACTCTTTTGCACGCTCAGCGACTGCCGACTACGCATGCATGCTTTCAAATGTTTAGCTTGAGCAAATAAAATACAATTAAATATTAGTTGCGTTCTCTAACTCGCAAGAATTTTCAGGAATTTACCAGAAAGCATTCCTGTACTCGGTTCTCTGGCTTAGTTTGCTTTTTGACAGTCTTACAGGTTTTAACCCAGAAAAGTTGGGGAACGCAAACTATTGCTTTCAAATGACATCATCTTTTTCGAACGTTTCGAACGTTTTCCGGATACGAAAATTGATGATAACTGTAGGAGTTTTTTGTATTCGTTTTCGGATACGGAAAATTCAACTAAACTGCACTGTCGGCAAAATTTGCGTTTCTTTGCTGGCTGGGAAAGCATGTAAACTCTAATACACACACCATGCAATTTTGTGATTCGTTCTTGTAAAATCATTTTGCATTTTAATTACTTGCTAAAACTAGTTTATCGTATTCTATATTCTAACGAGTCAAAAATAGGCACATATGTATATAAAAATATATATGTACATATGTATACATGCATACATACATAAGTATATAAATATGTGTATCAGATACCTTCACACTTATCAATTTGCATATGGTTGCGTATTTAAATATATATATACAGAAAGCATCATTTACTCACCTGCACGTAACGCCTCCACGGGCACTGATGGATATGGCATCGGATAGGGATAACCATCACGTCGCAGTGCTTTCGGTTTTCTTCTGGGACGATATTTGTAGTCAGGATGTTCTTTCATGTGCATTGCACTGGAAATAATCAGAGAGCATTGCTTTTAGAAATTACGAGCAAATATGTGCATATTTTGGAACTTATTATACAGGCTCAAATTTTCCATTAACATAATTGCCTTTGCCTAAACTCGTAAATAAAAGTTTACGCAAAGTTTCAGTTAATCTTCCTTGAACTGTGGTCTTACCGTAGTCGCTTTGCTTCATCGATAAATGGACGTTTTTCTTCCTCGGTTAAAAGTTTCCATTCGGCGCCTAAAATGGAAAGAAAACATCAAAGTAGCGATTTTCCTTCAGGGTTAAAGTAAGTAACAAGAAAAATCCTTAACAGGAAGAAAGAAACGCAATTATTACAGTATACAACATAGATAATTGTAATTATGAGTCAGAAATTGCTGGAAAGTGAAATATCAGCAGAAAAAAGATAACGAGCCCAAAATTTTGCAAGAAATTTGCAAAACTCCAAGAACTGCTGATTGATATATGAGAGCATGAAAGAGAAAGTACAAAAAAATTAGTTGTTAAAGCTTCCCCGCCAGAATGCATATTTACGAGTCTCGCTATGAGCTCAATAATCTAATCTATATATATAAAAATGAAATGTTTTGCGTATGACGGCGATGCCTGACCAAACGGCTGAACCGATTTAAATTCTGTAAAAAGTACTTTTTTGGACCTTCTTGGGGAAGGTTTTTTGATTTAAAAATAATAGAAACTTTTTGGTGTTGTTGCGGAAAAATGAAGAATGCTGAGACGTCACGATTTCACAATTTCTTACAGTTTTCCGTATATTGAATGTCGCTAAACTACTAAACGGCTAGACCGATTTGGTTCATATTTGGTACATATATCAGCTCCTTGAGAGGAAACATTTCTACTAAAAATTTGCTCGCTAGGTGGCGATGGGGTCAGAATATTCCCAAAAATTGTATTTACTTGCCGATTTGGCTCATATTTTGAACATAAGTTAGCCAATTGGAAAGGAATATTTGGACAAAAAAATACACGATAGGAGGCGCTGGGGTCGGGGTATACTCAAAAATTATTTTACGCTAAGAGAAGGTTAGATATCTACTATATATTTGTGGAAGTATGTATGTATGTATGTATGTGCCAGGTTGTAGCCTAACCGGAAGGACAGAATCGAACGAAATTTGGACAGAGTATTGCCATGACACCTGGGCCTATATTAGGGAGAAAAAAATCGGGATTCGACAAGGGGCGTGGCACCTCCCATAGGCATGCAATTTTTTATCAGCTATAACTTCGGAACCATAAGCCCCACGAACTTGAAATTTGGTATGCAGGCACAGCTACGATAGGTGCTTATAGTAAGGTTTATACGAATGAGTTTAAAAAAGGGGGCGTGGCACAGGCGTGGAATTTTTTATCGCTATAACTTGGAAATCATAAGTTATATGAACGCGAAATTTGGTATACAGACATATCTATGGAAGGTGCTTATAATAAGGTATATATAAATAAGTTTGTAAGAGGGGGCGTGGCACATCCCATAGGCGTGGAATTTTTATCAGCTATAACTTCCGAACCATAAGCCATACGAACTTGAAATTTGGTATGCAGACTCAGCTACGGTAGGTGCTTATAGTAAGGTGTATATGAATAAGTTTAAAAAGGGGGCGTGGCACATTCCGTAGGCGTGGAATTTTTTATGAGCTATAACTTCGAAATCATAAGTCACATGAACTTTGAATTTGGGATGCAGAAATATCTTTGGTAGGTGTTTATAGTAAGATATATATTAATGGGTCTATAAAAGGGGACGTGTCACATCCCATAGGCGTGGAATTTTTAACCAGCCATAAATTGGGAACCATAAGTCACATGAACCTGAAATTTGGTATGCAGACATATGCGTGGGAGGTGTTTAGAATAAAGTGTATATAAATGTGTTTGTAAAAGGGGGATAAATATTTATTCAACTATTAGACAACTCGGATGTTTAAAACTGTGTTTTTTGAAACCTTACAGTCTTTACGCCATCTTGAAATGGAAAATTAAATCATTTTATTGATCCCGCGATGCTGTTAAACGAAACATGTGCATGTATAATGAATACAACTTTTTCTGAAGTAAGCATTCTACAGGAAAAATGCAGCTATACTAAGGGCCGGTTACTCAATGTTTGGTTAACACTAATCTCCGGTTAGACATAGTTATCGACGTTACCGACTCCCTGTTGTATGCATGGAGTCGAAGAGGTCGACAACGATGTTTAACCGCAGATAAGTGTTAACCAGACATTGAGTAACCGGCCCTAAAACAGCTAAGCGATAAGGAAGCTAAACTGAATGTACCATAGCGGACTAATTTTAATTTAAAAATTCTATCGTTACCTTAATCCACCTAATATTAATAATGGAACAAGATTTTTAGTACAAAAAGTGGTGATCAATATATATTAGTTAAAGTACGATAAATCTTAAATTATGGCTTATAAGGATGCCATAATTTAGAAAGAAAATAAAATAGTTTTTCTGCTCTAATTTATGCTGATCTGAATATTTGTTTTACTGTTTTATATTTTGATTTAATTACCCCGAACGACGTAGGGTGCTCTGCTAGTCTATATATATAAAAATGAAATGTTGTTCGTATGACCGCGATGCCTGACCAAACGGCTGAGCCGATTTCAATTCTGTAAAAAGTACTATTTTGGACCTTCTGTGTGGAAGGTTTTTCGATGAAACAAAATTTTAACTTTTCGTTGTTGCTGCCGAAAAATAAAGAATGCTGAGACGTCACGATTTCACAATTTCATACAGTTTTCTGTACATTAAATGTCACTAAACCACTAAACGGCTGGACCGATTTTGTTCATATTTGGAACATATATCAGTACCTTGAAAACAAAATATTCCTACAAAAAATTTGTCCGCTAGGTTGCGCTGGGGTCAGAATATTCATAAAAATTACATTTACTTGCTGATTTGGCTCATATTTAGAAAACAATTTAGCCAATTGAAAAGAAATATTTGGACTTGAAACTTACACGATAGGTGGCCCTGTGGCCGAGACATCCCCAAACATTATTTTACGAAAAGATAAGGATATATTTATGGAAGTATGTATGTATGTTTTTATGTGCCAGGTTGCAGCCTAAACGGACGGACAGAATCGAACAAACTTTTGACAGAGTATTGCCTTGACACCTGGNTTATGTGCCAGGTTACAGCCTAAACGGACGGACAGAATCGAACAAACTTTTGACAGAGTATTGCCTTGACACCTGGGCCTATAATAGCTTAAAAAAAATTGGGATTCGACAAGGGGGCGTGGCATCTTCCATAGGCGTGAAACTTTTAATCAGCCATAACTTCGGAACTATAAGTCACATGAACTTGAAATTTGGTATGCAATTATATATATCGTAGGTGCTTACAGTAGAGTATATATAAATGACTTTGTAAAAGTGGGCGTGGCACATCCCATAGGCGTGAAATTTGTTATCAATCATAACTTCGGATCCAATAGGCGTGGAATATTTTATCAGCTATAAATCCGAAACTATAAGTCATATGAACTTGAAATTTGTTATTCAGGCACACATATGGTAGGTGCTTATATTAGGGTATATATAAATAAGTTTGTAAAAGTGGGCGTGGCACATCCCATAGGAATATTTTATCAGCTATAAATCCGAAACTATAAGTCATATGAACTTGAAATTTGTTATTCAGGCACACATATGGTAGGTGCTTATATTAGGGTATATATAAATAAGTTTGTAAAAGTGGGCGTGGCACATCCCATAGGAATATTTTATCTGCTATAACTCCGGAACTATAAGCCACATGAACGTTAAATTTGGTATACAGGCATATCTATGGTAGGTGCTTACAGTGAGGTATATAACTATAAATGAGTTTGCAAAAGGAGGCGTGGCACATCCCATAGGCGTGGAATNGTTAAATTTGGTATACAGGCATAACTATGGTAGGTGCTTACAGTGAGGTATATATAAATGAGTTTGCAAAAGGAGGCGTGGCACATCCCATAGGCGTGGAATATTTTATCAGCTATAAATCCGAAACTATAAGTCATATGAACTTGAAATTTGTTATTCAGTCATACATACATATGGTAGGCGCTTACAGTAGGGTATATATAAATGAGTTTGAAAAAGTGGGCGTGGCACAACCCATAGGATTATTTTATCAGCTATAACTCCGGAACTATAAGCCACATGAATTTTAAATTTGGTATGCAGACATAGCTATGGTAGGTGCTTACAGTCAGGTATATATAAACGAGTTTGCAAAAGGAGGCGTGGCACATCCCATAGGCGTGGAATATTTTATCAGCTATAAATCCAAAACTATAAGTCATATGAACTTGAAATTTGTTATTCAGTCATACATACATATGGTAGGTGCTTACAGTAGGGTATAAATAAATGCGTTTGAAGAAGTGGGCGTGGCACATCCCATAGGATTACTTTGTCAGCTATAACTCGGGAACTATAAGGTACATGAACTTGAAATTTGGTATGCAGACATAACTGTGGTAGGTGCTGTATATATAAAGGGATTTGCAATAGGGGGCGTGGCACATCCCATAGGCGTGGACCCTTTGGTAAATTTGGTATGCAGACATAACTGTGGTAGGTGCTGTATATATAAAGGGATTTGCAATAGGGGGCGTGGCACATCCCATAGGATTACTTTGTCAGCTATAACTCGGGCACTATAAGGTACATGAACTTGAAATTTGGTATGCAGACATAACTGTGGTAGGTGCTTACAGTAAGGTATGTATATATAAAGGGATTTGCAGCTATAATTCACAACCATCAGTCACATGAAATTGAAGTTAGGTATGCANCACTATAAGGTACATGAACTTGAAATTTGGTATGCAGACATAACTGTGGTAGGTGCTGTATATATAAAGGGATTTGCAATAGGGGGCGTGGCACATCCCACAGGCGTGGAAATTTGTATCAGCTATAATTCACAACCATCAGTCACATGAAATTGAAGTTAGGTATGCAGATATATATGCGTTACAGTAGGCTATATATACATAAGTTTGTAAAAAGGGGAGTGGCACATCCCATAGGCGTGGACCCTTTGGTAAATTTGGTATGCAGGCATATCTACGGTAGGCGCTTTAAGTAAAGCATATTAGTAGTCCACTTGCAAATTGCGCTATGTAAAATTTTTTCCATTTTTAGTTTTTGGTGGATTACGTACCAGTATTTAAAGTAGTTTCATGCCCACTGACAACACAGT